TCTGCAATGGCACAAACAACAAAACACTTATAGATACTTACTTAGCATATAAATTCTAACTCAATTTTGAAAAAATGCTCGCAAAATAACGCGACGGTAAGCCCAGTTTCGCGTTGTCGGCACTCCACAGTAGTTGAGATTAATATTTTTTTTATTATATTACACATTTAGTTCAAGTCCATATTTAAATACAATTACGTTGACTAAATCTCAACTTCTGTAAAGTGCCGACGACTCAAATGTGGGCTTACCATCGCAGTATTTTGCGATCATTTCTTCTAAATTGAGTTAGGATTCAGATGATAAGAAAGTATCTACTTTATGTGTTCTATTGTTTGTGGTATTGCAACCGCAATTTATCATTCAAATTGTAATACCTAATAAAGATTATTGATGTGACATCACAGTCGTACATGTCGTTCATGTTTGAACATGAACTTCATTTCGGACAATGATACCATGTCAATAATCTTCATTATGTATTACAATTTGAACTTTAAATTTCGTCTGCAATGGCACAAACAACAAAATACTTATAGATACTTACTTAACATATAAATTCTAATTCAATTTTGAAGAAATGATCGCAAAATACTGCGATGGTAAGCCCACATTTGAGTCGTCAGAACTTTACAGAAGTTGAGATTTAGTCAACGTAATTGTATTTGAATATGGACTTGAACTTAATTGACATTTAATAAATATGAAACAATAGTCAATTAAGGCATATGTTTTTAAGTTGAAGGTCTCGATATGTAAAATCTTAGAAATTTTTTTAAGGCATATGTTTTTAATATTCATAATAACTACAATTACGTCAATGATGTCATGCGCACAACCTCCATTGTGCATCATATTTCCAACTCTCTCATACGCGTACAATAGAGCAATATACTGAAGTCTTATGGCAGTCTGTGTGATCGTTGTATATACTGCGATATTAGAGGCATATAAGAGAGTCGGAACAATGATGTCATGATACACAATGAAGAATATGGGAAAGACAACATTGGTGTGATTGATATTATTGCTTAAATTTGTGAATGTTATTCTATAATAGAGAGAGTCGAAGTTAGCACCGTTTACGGCATACTTAAATGTGCAATTATCGTACAACACTACAATATAACTAAGGTCTTTTTTCTAGAGTACCGTATTTTATTTGTAGTGTTGTACGATAGTTGCACAAGTAAGTAGGTCGTAAACGATGTAAACTTCGACTGTCTCTATGTATAATGTAAGTATTTTATTATTCAATTATGTATAACAAATTATTTGATATTGTACTATCATGAAAAATTATTTTAAGCTTTGATATTAATATTGTTAAAAATTATTATACTACTATTATATTATTTTGACCTTCGGAAAGGGTGGACAATTAGTTAGAGCTTCTCGACAATACAATTTCAAATATCTTTTGGTAATTTAGTTGGTGTACTTGAAATATTTTTTGTAATTGAGTTGGCACGCGTTTCACCGAGAAACTTCTGGCCAATACAATTTCAAATATTTTTTGGTAATTGAGTTGGTGTACTTGAAATATTTTTTGTAATTGAGTTGGCAGTTTGGCACGCGTTTCACCGAAAAACTTCTGGTCAAAACAACTTAATTATTAGTTTAATTTTTCATAAATTATATTATTTAATTTCTATCATTGTTTAAGTTATTCTATCATTTCATATTAATTTTGTTAAAAATAATTATATTACTCTTATATTATTTTAAGTTTAATATTATTTTGATCGATATTTGAGTTTCACAAATGACAATATATTAAGGTCATATAAAAAAAAATATTAAAAACAATGGACTGGCGCTAAATTGACATTTATTAAGTGAAAATATCATACAAATTGTAAACTTTTTTTTGTTTTTAAAAATAACATTTTCACTTATAAATGTCAATTTAGGTGCCTACGTATCTCTTTTATTGAGAATAAAAGTCCACGTAGTTCTTCTATTTACGTACATTCAATTCAGTCGAGTGAAAGTCTCTAATAGTCGTACTCGTCTTCGGCCGTCCCGGTACCGCTCGTCGAACTCGTGAAATCAGATGCGTCGTCATCGTCGTTGTCATCACCTTCTGGCCCGTCTACGAGCATAGCCATTTGCGTCCTTCGTTCGGCCTTCTCCCAATCCATCAACAACATTTGTGCTTGTAGATTCTCGGGCGTCAACCTCGACCGTCGTGCGTCTAGCATGTAACCTCCCTCACTAAAAGCTTGTTCGACCGCAACTGTAGAGGCTGGAACAGCAAAAATCTCCTTCGCCATCAAACATGGAATAGGATAAACGTTTTCCATTTTTGACCCCAATCCAAGACATCGAAGTTCAGTGGCGCAACTGGTTCACGCGCAATCCTGAGTATCAAATTCGACGTATGGTAGTGATCCAGGTCGTTGTATCCAGTCCCTTTTGTCCTTTGGGGGTCAACATTCTTGTACGAATTTTTTTATGCCCACCACTCCTTGTAGTTTGTTGCGCCTGCTCGATTCCCGTAAGAAGAAGCACTGCTGCCGCTACTGCCACGAACAAATGAGCTGGGATGCTCTCCATGCGCGATCGCTGTTTCCCTGAACATTTCATACAACAAATCTTTTGCTTGCTCGACGAGCAGCCTAACGTTAGGTTTTTGACTGTATTCTTCCACCTCAGTCGGCAGTGGGAGTTCAAACATATGATTATAATAAAGGTTAAGATTATCCATCAATTCAATTTCACGTACACTAGGATCTAACAAACATGCAACTAAAAATGTATCAGGAATATAAAAATAATATTTTAACCATTTCTTTAACATTTCACTTACTAAATCTTAAAATAATCAAGTTTGTAAAGATCAGATAAAGCCCACATGATAGCTATACATTGACTTAATACAAGCTGAGCAGTAGGATAATAAACACCGGAAAGCATGGAAGTAGCATTTTGAAATGTTTCTAAAAAACTAATAAGTACTTTACAATTCTCCCAATCTGTTGTGGAGACTCGGATGTCACAGTCCCTACGGTTTGGATCGTTAAAAAACTTCTCCAACACCGACATAAAAGGAACTGTGTCATTCAACATTTTATATGTTGAATTCCACATGCTTTCATTTTAGGTTTCAACCCTTCATTTTAGGTTTCAACCCTTCATTCTTACATAAAAGGAACTGTGTCATTCAACATTTTAGGTTTCAACCCTTCATTCTTACAAAAACGCCCCCATGCTTTCATTTCTTGAGGACGTTTATGTAAATAATTAACAACATTTCTAATTGGCGTGACTGAATCTTTAAAAGCATTATAACCAGATTGTACACATAAATTCAAGACATGACATATACAACGAACATGAAAAAATCTTCCTCCACAAATTGGTGAGCAAATATCTGTAAGTTCACGTATAGATGCAGTATTGACAGTTGCATTATCAAAAGAAATGGAAAACACTCTTTTACCAATTTTATATTTGTCCAAAATTTTAGAAATTAAACGAGCAATATTAGAAGCAGTGTGACGTTCATGAAATGCAACATAAGCGATTAAACGTTTTTGCAAACTCCAAGTTTCATCAATCCAATGACAAGTAATTCCCAAATAGGAGTTAGTTTGCCAATGATCAGACCATATATCAGCACAAATAGATACTCTATGATTTAAAGATTTGAAAGTTTCTTGCAAAATTATTTTTTTTCACTGACAATTTTTTGAATATCGCGAGAAAGAGTAGTACGTGGAACCCGGGTGGCACCCGAATTTAAAGCCATTTGAGCAAAATTTTCATATAAATCACTATCACCAAAACTAAATGGAAGAGATGAGGCAGAAACAAATTCAGCAAAATGACGTCTATGATTATCATGCGAGTAATGAAAAAAGATGGCATACCTGTACCAGTGTCGGATGCAGAACTGCTGCTGGGGAATTGCGTCTGTGCCATGTCGATTCCCAACGTATGCGGGTGACAACTCTTTAGGTGTCGAGTCAAGGATCCGTACCCATCGCCTTTTTTGAAATGATACTGCTTCTTGTCGTTAGACGAACAATGGTTGCAGACTGCTAAAAAATAATTCGGACCTTTTTTGCGGATTTGGGATCTTCTTGTAATGTCGTTGGAAGATGTCGGACCCCTTATTGCCACCCCTACCCGGACCACGACCATAGACAGAGGATGGGTGGTGCATGTCCGCCTCAGGCTACGTCTCTTGCTGGATCTCGTCCGGGCTCGTTCCAAATAGATTATCTAAATGGTCGTGATAAGGCTGCTGCTCGGGCTCTTGCTGTCCGGACTGAACTGAGTCAAACAAGGCTTCTATTGCTGCTTCATCAATATCATTTGGGACAGAAGGAAGATTAACATATACAGATGGACTGACAAATTCAGGATGTGGAGGTACTGAAGAAGACGTGCCGACATTTCTCCGTTTACTTCCGGAAGTCGAACCACGACTACCACCACGAGAACTTGACATTTTTTAGTATAAAATAAGAAATGTAGAATATGTATAAAAAATAATTACAATAAAAAAATATAAAATATAAATTTAATATAGATTATAAAATTCAAAATAAAAGATTTTTTATGTATATATTTTTTTTGTGTATATATATATAAATATATATTTTTTTTATGTAAATATATAAATCAAGCTATTAATAAAAAAATGAGAAAGAGAGAGAAGAGATTAGAGAGAGATGAGAGAAAGAGAGGATTTTGGTGTGGAAAATG